CCCAACGCCCGCTCATCAACCCACACCAAGTAGCATGAAGTATGGTCAAACAACCCCCACAGCACACAATGTGTGTATGCTGAACTTCTTTCGCACCGTACGTAGCCACACCGTGCTAATCGGAGGTGCGGGGGAAGGACAACACTAAACACAAAAAGCAGTTCTAAAGGCCTTCATCTCGCAATGAATTTGCAAAGGGTTGTTAAGTATAGACTCTCATATTAATCTATTAATAATACACGTATTTGAGCTGCAATTAATGTGAACTGTCGTTTTTTGTTGTACTATTTTAAGAAGTTAACCGATTGCCCTCCATGTGAGATGGGAAAACTCAGGGTACGATTTTTAAAAGAACAAACATAACAACGTTTAACACGTAGGCTTTCTTGACCAATATTCAAAATAAAGGTGTTTTTTGGTTAGATTGCATAAATGTGTCGTTAAACCCTTCACCATAAATCAGGCTGTCGCCTGATGAAGCTAGTTGTAATTATTGGCGAAACGTCGTACTCAGATTGTAAATGTTATGGATTTACTCTTGAACACACCGGTGTGCTGTACAAGTAAAGAATTGGCATGTTCTGTTTACGTGACAAACATTACTAGTTGGCTGTGTCGGGTGGTGGCGGGTTTAACGACACATTTATATTTACGTGATCAAACCCAAAAAAACTATTATGATCGTCCGATCAAATGCAATGTTACGTTGACGCTCGCTTAAATGCCTTAAATTTACTTCCGCGCAAAAAACCAGAAAATTGAAACTCGCCCACATTGATTAACAAAAACAATTGTGTTTAAATGAACAAAGTCTTGATAAACTCACGTTTTGTGTTATAGGTACAGTGCCTTGAGTAGCTCTTTGACTGGGGTTGCCCGGGATACGACAATAATATTCCCAGAATCAGAATATTTATACTGGAGGAATCCGATGAACTACAAAGCTCTTTTTCACGGATGTCCAGCGTCACGCGTGCTCACCCAGGAAAAGCCTCGACTTAGTCTCACGACTATTTTTCGGGTCACCAGTAATCGTGTCGTTCATTTAGCACGGGGGTGGGGAACGTCTGGCCCGCAGGCCGTATGAGGCCCGCGAAATCATTTGGTGTCTGGCTCTGCCAAGGTAACCGCAGGCGGGACTCGAAATTCAATAAATCTAGGAGCAAACCTGGAAAAGCAGTTGCGAATAGCAACAACATCATCAATACCAGCTAACATCGTCACACACCTCACCAAAGAGAAGCAGTTCCAGCCATCACAAAAATGTTTGACCAAATATGACAGGCTAATTTTTAAGTTGATAATTTTGTATGGCCCGCGAATTATGTATAAATATCCAAATGGCCCTTGGCAGAAAAAAGGTTCCCCGCCCCTGGTCTAGCAATATACCGTTACGGGCTGATTATTGTTGTGCGTTGAACTTCTTTCGCACGGCACATAACCAACCTTGGTAATCGGAGGTGCGGGACATTTCTTATAGTTTGTTTACATTTTTAATTGACATTTTAAACTCATTACAGGGATATTTATGAGAAAACCAATTAGCACGATAATTGAAGTTTCAAATAATGAGCTTTTGCCCATGATATGAGTGTTTTGCAAAAGTTCGTGCAGTTGTCGATAGCATGTTGCAAATTTCACATGTTCAGTTTCATAGTTACTTATTAAATTATTCCAAATGTGAACAGTAACAGCATTGTCCATTTATGACCGCTACAGATTGTTAAATTGCAATAATTGCAAGATATATGGCAGGCTCATGTCGAGAGAAATGGAGAACATATATAGTAATATTTTTTGGATTCCTGTAAGGACGGCAGAGTACAGAAACAACACTATTAAAAACACGTGAAATAAAATTGTATAAAGCTACTCGAAAGTAATATTGCGACAATCGTCATGTCGTGAAAAACGATTGTTTCCTATCGTGCTGTAAAAAAAGAAAAACAAATGAATTACATTGCGGCGATGCTACGGTTTACTTTGTCACGCGGACTGCGAGCTGAGCGGGTTTAACGGGATAACCGCGAGAGTCGTGGGGTAACCGCGAGAGTCGTGGGATAACAGCGAGAGTCGTGGGATAACCGCGAGAGTCGTGGGATAACCGCGAGAGTCGTGGGATAACCGCGAGAGTCGTGGGATAACCGCGAGAATCGTCGTGGGATAACCGCGAGAGTCGTGGGATAACCGCGAGAATCGTCGTGGGATAACCGCGAGAGTCGTGGGATAACCGCGAGAGTCTTGGGATAACCGCGAGAGTCTTGGGATAACCGCGAGAGTCGTCGTGGGATAACCGCGAGAGTCGTGGGATAACCGCGAGAGTCGTGGGATAACCGCGAGAGTCGTGGGATAACCGCGAGAGTCGTGGGATAACCGCGAGAGTCGTGGGATAACCGCGAGAGTCGTCGTGGGATAACCGCGAGAGTCGTGGGATAACCGCGAGAGTCGTGGGATAACCGCGAGAGTCGTGGGATAACCGCGAGAGTCTTGGGATAACCGCGAGAGTCGTGGGATAACCGCGAGAGTCGTGGGATAACCGCGAGAGTCGTGGGATAACCGCGAGAGTCGTGGGATAACCGCGAGAGTCTTGGGATAACCGCGAGAGTCGTGGGATAACAGCGAGAGTCGTGGGATAACAGCGAGTCTCGCAATGGCCGTGGCCACTAAAATACGGCAGAGGAACGTCTTGGGGAAACATTCTGTGGGTCTTTCGGTAAAGCCACGTCGATGGAAAAAATAACAAAAATCATCAATCGTCAGAAATCGTCCTGGGGAAAGCCAAATGAACACTTTTCCGTCACTTTGAAGGAACGCACGGGGGGGGGGGGGACATTGAGCCCGCAATGTTAAATGCCCCTCGCGTGTAAACAAAATAAGATATGGTCACTAAAAAGGTCCCCAACAACCTGATATGGCCACCGTCTAAACAAAATATATTTTATTTTTTAGTTACCAAAAAGTAACTGGGCTGCGACATGGGCACAAATACGGCAGTAGGCCCAGTGGATTCTTGAATCCATCTGTGTGGAACGTTCAGTGTGTTGCCCCCTCATATGGTTTTTCTATGGGGAGCCCAAGTTTCTTCCTCCCTAAGTGCATTTAAAAAAAATATCTTTTAAATGTTGACTCGATGAAAATAGCCCGGGTGAATGAAGGGGGCATTAGCCAGGGGGGGGGGGTCACCGTTTTGTTGATAAAGTCACGGCGAGCCTTCGGCGAAGGTTACGCTTGGAGCCTCTCAAAGTCAGCAGCGGGATTAAGCAGAACGATTGTTTTGACGCATCAGGCATCTCACCCCAAATTATACTGTCACGCGCGTCAGACATTGTTGTAGCCCACTCATTAGGGGCGTTAAAGTGCCCTCTGGGAGAGTAAAGGTACGAATTGAGGCCTCGATCCGCTACGTCGGGCTGGGCCGCCAAAACAGTGGCGGGTGATGACGTTTGCACGCGCCCCTCTGCTGCGATGATTTTATTCCGCCGATCATGACCATGATGTTCATACTGACTGTGATTGAGATGATAGTGAATGATGAGTATTATAACTACTACCGCGTTGACGATAAGGATGATGGTATAGTCACATAGTCACTTTAAGATGTTTTTCTTGGGCGTGCTTTTGTTTTTTTGTTTGTTGTGGTTGCACCCGATTCAAGAGCCGAATGGCTCACAGGGCTATACCAAAATTTAAAAAAACTGAAAACTGTAATCCTGGTTGCAAGTATGTTGACAATAACGATGATGATTATGATATCCGTGATGACGATGACGACCAAGATGAGCGCGATGGCGATCACGCTCACGATGGTCGGGACCGTAATGAAGATGCTAATTACCACAATCAAAATGTTGTAGTGATTGTGGCCTTAATGATGGAAGATTATGGACATTGCACACAATAGCAGCTTCTTCTTAAAAGTCTTAACCCACGCGGTTCTTGCGTCATCACTGCATAACTGTAATCTGGCAACCTCCATTCACTCTTGCCAAACGAGCAGCATCGCTCGCGCCCGATCGTCGTCCTCTTCTCCCCTGATCCCGTCACCCGAGCGATGGCGGTGTCTTCACTGTGTTGTGCGTAGCCAACCGTATTAACCGGACGTTATCTCTCCAGCCATCCTGTGCTGTCCTTGGCAGTGATTAATCGACGTTCGCGGGTTGGGCCGGTCCATGCCGCGATGTTATCGAGCCAGTTCTTACCCGGCGTGTCTCGCTGTCTTTTGCCATCGGCCGTCCCCTATCCGATGGCCTTGGCTGGGATCTGACAAATGTCGTGGTAAGCCCACACCAATTCAAATTTCTAATTTTTTAAATGACAGACAACAGGCGTTCACGCTCGCCAACCTCTCCGTTTTCCCTTACTCGTCGGACCTCTTTGTTTTGATAGTTCCCTGAATGGGGACATGCGGACGTTTGCAACAGAAAAGACTTTCCATCGCCTCCATCAATCTGCGTGTCTGATGTTGATGACCACCATTCAAATCCGCGCATGAAAGATATAACGAAGAGGGCACCTAGGAACGATGTATTTCGGTGACGATGGAGGTGTTTGAATCTCTCCAGGCTCACGATGTTAACTAAAACCAGTAGATCTTCCCACCGACCGTATCCTTTGATGCGAGGTATTTCAACGATGTCGTTTTTGTCCCGAGTTCGTCGTCCGCCCGCGTCATGGTGCCGCGTGCACCTCGATCGCACACGTGCGCGCACTCACGCACACTCACACTCACGTGCACACTCACGTGCACACTCACACTCACGCACACTCACACTCACGTGCACACTCACGCACACTCACACTCACGCACGCGCACACTCACGCACGCACGCGCACACTCACGCACGCACGCGCGTGCACACTCACGCACGCGCACACTCACGCACACTCACACGCGTGCACACTCACGCACACTCACACTCACGCACACTCACTCACACGCACGCACGCGCGTGCACACTCACGCACGCGCACACTCACGCACACTCACACGCGTGCACACTCACGCACACTCACTCACACGCACGCACGCGCGTGCACACTCACACTCACGCACGTGCACGCCGCCGTCTCTCGACTCTCCGCCGGTCTCCATCTCGTGCTTGGACGAGGGGGTTGCGGCGTAAGTCGTTGATGTCGGCTCCTCCGGATCTTTTGTAGGTCGCCCCCGCTGCGGTTCACCGATCGCCATGCGGTACCTCGCCGCGATGGGCGCTCGATAGGGGTCGAGTAAGCGCCGGCGAGACGGAGCGGGCGTCGCCATCTCATGCAAGAGCCGCTGCACGCCACTTGGCCAGCAGACGCGCTCCTCACATTCAGGATCTTTATTTCGACTGGAAGAGGAGGAATTCGATGAGCTATGAAACTTATTTTTCACAGATGCCCAGCAGGGGCACGAGGTCAGCGAGTTTCAACAACAAAACAACATTCAAGTAGGAGGCTTCTGCCGTGCTGGTGATGCTTTCGGAAGGTTATTGCTGCCCCGTGTTGATCCGCAGTGCTATTTGTCAGACTCTGCCAAAAGGATTCGAAGCGATCGAATCACGGTGTCGGACTCCGCGTGATGTTTCCACACGAGGTGCAGAGATTAAACATCTGCTCTGCGGAGCTCTGCGCTTCTCCACAAACTTGCTTCATGTTTCTTTATTTAGAGCTTCGCGTGTTGCTTTGAGTTCAATATTCTTTGGAATAATGCTTGACTGATGGTGGCTGATGAGGCTCGTTTTCTTCATACTTATGCCGCCATCTGTAAGTGTTAGTTTTTAGTAGTATTATTATTGATTGCATCCATTGATTTAGCCATGTTCCTCATTCCCAGCTGTTATTTTGCTATTTTGTAAGTAAATCACTGCTACAGTCTCATTTGCCCATTTTCGGGGACCTAATTTCCTCTTCAGCTTCTTCCCTTTGCAGCTTCACTCGCTTGTACTTCATCATCGCTGCTTAATATCGACTGCATGCAGCTTGATTTAGCAACCGTATGGTTCATTAAAATATTCCATCCATCTCTGTCCATCCTCCCGTTTCTGTCAAGACGTTTCCATTTTCTCCCACCCATCCCATCCATTGCTGTGTTTAAAATCTGGAGAAAGATGGACCACGAAGCGCTGGAACCCTGAGCCCGAGACCCCTCACCTCTCACCTACGCTAGACGATGGCAAAAGACGCGTCTTCGCCGGCGGAGAATGTGATGTTGACAGGCTGCGTGAAGACAGCGTGGTGCGTGTAGAGGCTCGCCATCGTGTACCCATTGTAGAAGGCCACGGTGCCGCCCTCATAGTCCAAGTACACCCCGATGGTGAGAAGGCTCGAAGGTCCCAGTGGTCCAGTCTCTACCAACTGCTGCTGCTGCTGCTGCTGTTGCTGATTCTGCCGCTGTTGCGGGTTCTGCTGGGGCGGCTGCGGCTGCTGCTGCTGCTGCTGCCGCCGGCGCCGCTGATCGCCCGTGAGGAACTGCGTCTCGTCCCACAGCAAGAGGCAGCAGACCCCCGCCCCGGGAGCGGGGTCCGCCGGGCCGAGGGGACTCTGCGGAGCCCCCTCCCGTCGCTCCGCGGGGCCCTCGCCCGTGTGCACGCACACGCGGCAAGACGTGCTCACGCACGCCTCCACCTCCACGTAGTGGCGCCCAGAGCGGACCCCGCGCAGGGCGCTCGCCACGCGCCCGCCGGGGAACGGGGACGGCGGCGCCGCGGCGGGGACCCGGCGCGGGGAGGCGCTCCGGGACGGCCCCGCGAAGTCCGCCTCCAGGTCGGGGTCGGGGTCGGGGTCGGGGTCGTGCCGCGTCACGGCGAGATCTTTCGGGGGCCCCGGCGAGGAAGGGAAGGCGGGCGGCGAGGACGGCTCGCGGAAAGCCGAGTCCGGTTCCGGCTCCGTGTCTTTGTCATCTGCACGCACGCGGGCAAAGATCGAGGTTCCCCCGTATAGACTCGCGCTGCTGAGGCGAGCGTCGACGCACGGGACGGCGATGCGGCGCGATTGGCGCACGGGACGACGCCGCCGTCGCACGCGACATCGGCGAGCGCGCAACTTTGAACGCGGCGTCACCGCGCCCTCTGGGCTCGTCCGTCGCAGGCGATGTCGCAGCGGACACGAGGCAGCGGAGGGAGCGTTGAGGAACGTGGCGACTCACACATGAAGACCGGCCGCAGGCCGTGCCACTCGTCCAGCCGGCGCGTGAAGGTGCTGATCCTCTCGGCCACGATGCGCACCTTGACCTTGTTGAAGCGCGCCTCCCCAGTGTCCACTTCCAGCGGAGCTCCCAGCGCCGCGTCCACCCTGCAGCGGGGAGCAAAGGAGAGGGCTCATCACGAATACGTCTCGCAATTAAACTAAACGATTAACTATTTCTATTTGACCAGGTAAGGCCCACTGAGCTACGTCGCTCTTTTTTCAGAAGCGACCTGGCCAGAAATGATAGCTCAACCAAGTGGATTACCACGTGGAAATGTATACCAGCCAAATGCTCTAAACACATGTTGATTCTAAATGTGGAGGGATAAACTGGAGGACCCGGAGAAAAATCCACGCCACCACGTGGAGAACATGAAAACTCCAAATATACAGCAGGCGTCAGGGTCCGGATCTAACCCACGACCTCGTGTATACCAGGCGAGGTAGTTAACATCTCTCCACCATGGCACAATTAAACCAATTACACTGCAGCAAGCCTGATGAAATGCTGTGTGTAGACTTTGCTCGTACTGAATCGATGCTATCGAGGTTGTGTGCAAGCCAGAAAGCTGTGGGCCCGATGGGTTGTGTTATATTTGTCCTTGAAAGATCTGTGCAAGGTCGTGGTGACGTTACCGCCACTTAGTGGCGAATGGCGGTTGTTGTTGTTATATTTGTATCTATTCATTTGGAGAGGCAGATATATGGAGACAAATTGTCTACTCATCTTCTTATTTATATTATTCTCCACGACGCTCAGGGTTATTTTGTGTTGATCACGTGTCAAGCGCATATCACCAGACCTCCGTGTAGCGTCACCACATCAAGTCCATCGCCTATCGGCTTTCCGGATCACTATTACCCAGCAGCATTCAAGCACGTAGACTCTGGACCGGTTTCGACCTTCTGGGTCTCATCAGCAGAATCAGACTTGTTAGACAAATGCAGCTGGCTTGCCAGACGTTATTGGCAAGAGCACTCCATCTAAACAATGGACGCCCTGTTTGTTGCAATAAGCGGCATCGTATGCAAGGCCGTCAATATGCGTTGTTGTGAGGCATTGTTCTTACGCATTGCTTCAGTTTCTAGCAACTTCTAAGTCTAAAGTCGAGATTAGTTTCGCCAGGAAAGGGATCGGGTAAGTTAGAGCTGTGGAGGAGGGTGATGATTGGATGGCCACAATTAGCCTCCGGAGTCACCCAGTAACCCCTCCAATTATCCTTTGAAGAGAGGGCGGATGAACCCACAGGGGGTGGGGGGGGGGGCTGGTGGGGGGGGGGCTGGTGGGCGGGGGCTGGTGGTGTGGGTAGGGGAGAGTGATGCAAGAGCACACACACACACGTATCTTTATACACACACACACGCATATCTTTATACACGCACGCACACGCGTACCTTTCTACACACACACGCACACCTTTCTACACACACACACGCACACATTTCTACACACACACACGCGCACGCACCTTTATACACGCACGCACACGCGTACCTTTCTACACACACACGCGCACCTTTCTACACACACACACACGCACGCACCTTTATACACACACGCACGCACACGCGCACCTTTCTACACACACACACACGCACCTTTCTACACACACACGCACGCACCTTTATACACACACGCACACACACGCGTACCTTTCTACAGACACACGCGCACCTTTCTACACACACATACACACGCACCTTTCTACACACACACGCACGCACCTTTATACACACACGCACGCACACGCGTACCTTTCTACACACACACGCGCACCTTTCTACACACACACACACACGCACCTTTCTACACACACACGCACGCACCTTTATACACACACGCACACACACGCGTACCTTTCTACACACACACGCGCACCTTTCTACACACACACACGCACCTTTCTACACACACACACGCACGTACCTTTATACGCACACACGCGCGTACCTTCCCACACACGCACACACGCGTACCTTTCTACGCTGCAGCTGTGAACCTGCGTGGATGAAACAAAAACAAAAACGTGCAAAAGGTTAGAACTAATAAAGTTATTTTATTTATGCAATAAAATGTTGAATTATATATCGGCGAAACGAGACCGCCTCTCAAGACGCTGTGCGGCGACACTGGGTGGATTTATTTGATCGAGAAGCAGGCGGCCCTGGGCAGAAGATCAGGGCTTGAGCCTGGACTGGAGCTGGGGCAGAAGAGTCGACAGCACGGACGGCTGGCTTCATGTCATCGATGTCAACCTCAACGTGTTACCACTTCAAACCCTCTGCGGCATCTCCTGCGTACATAAATCGGCACGTTAAAGCAAACGATTCGTGTGTATCTGTCGTGCCCATATACGATGCAACTATTCGTTATGCTAACCTATCGATGACACAACCCTCTGGGAATTAGTAATTTCAACAGCATTGATTGAGTACCGTACACGCGAACTTGGACCAGTTTCATCAGCAGAGGCAGGCTTGCTTGAATCAATGCTGGTGAACTGCAAGATGCATTAGAGGCAAGGTCCCCCTTTCTAAGACACGTGTACTAGTTTGACGCAAAATTATATCAAACGTGACTTAAAATATCCACGAGTGTCATTGTAGAAAGTGCTGAGATTGTATCGTGGGTCGAGTTCAAGCCTCGAGTTTCAGGTTTATTTTGTTTGACGAGGAGAGAACTCAAGAGATTAGCATCGTCTCATTTGGACCGGTGGCAGGGTCGAGGGTGTGTGGATGGCGTGGGGAGCGGTGGCCCAGTGGTTAGCGCACTGCGCAACGAAACTCAGCTACCCGGTGCTCGATTCCTACTCACGACCAATAAAGGTGGTAATATTTGTAGCTGTTCTGGGCCTCTCCTGGGACGACTCAACCTTAGATGAGCACCTGGTTCAGTACGTGACATCATCATTTGGGAGACAAAGGCAAAGCGGGTGTGGCGTCGGTCACCCACCTTCTCGTGTGCTGTCGCCGTCCTTCGTAGGGTTTCAATATAACGACACTTGCCCCCAACAGTTGGTTAAGCCAATACGGGGGATCTTTATCTTTGTTGTATTTTTTTTGTGAGGCACGGTGGTGGTGAGATCAGGGCGCCACAGTGGCTAGGAGATGTTAACTACCTCGCCTGGTATGCAGGAGGTCGTCGGTTTGGTCCCGACCCTGACACCTGCTGTAAATTTGGAATATGTATGTTCTCCCCATGGCCACGTGGATTTTTCTCTGGGTCCTCCGGTTTTTCCCTCCACATTTAGAATCAACGTGCGTTCAAAGCATTTGGCTGCTATAAGTTTCCACACGATAGGCCACTTCGTTGATCTATCATTTGTGGCCAGGGCACTTCTGGATAAGAGCGCCATAGCTCAGCGGGCCTTCGCTCGTAAAGTAAATAAAAATAGTTCTCTGATCTCTGCCGCTCGCCTGCACAAATTCGAAGGGGTCGGCGATTTGAAGCAGCCTGGACACCTCCAGCTGAGCCTTGTCCAGGGCGTCCGCCTGCGCCCGGAGGCGCCACTCGGCCCGGCGCACCCCACCCAGCGCGCGCTTCTCCTCGCCGCGGAAGAAGCGCAGAGCCGCCGCCTCGTCCGCCGCCAGGAGACGCCTCATGCGGGAGAAGGCCCTCCGGCAGCCGGCCTGCAGGGCGCCGCTCGCCTGCTGCGCACGCAAACAGAGGCCAAGGTGTGGTCCTCCCGCTACCGCACGTGTAGCCTTGAACAGACTGTTGGGGCAAGCGGTGCACCTATGAAGGCCGGGACAGTGCGTGAAGCGGTGGGTTGGCCAGCGCTACGCCCGGTCGCATTTGTCTCACGAGTGACGATGTTTACCGCACACTGCACCAGGTACTCAATTGAGACTGAGTCGACCTACAAAGACAAAGATCCCCCGCATAGCCTAAAGCAGACGTTTGGGGCAAGTGCAGTTAGCGAGCATCTTTGAAGGCCGGCAGGGCACACGAGAGGGTGGGTGGCCAGCGCCACGCCCTAACCCCTCTGTCTCACGAGTGACGATGTTTACTACACACCGCACCAGGCACTCATTTACACACACGCGCGACCTACACACGCGCGCGCAAAATGCAACATACACGCAGGTACATGCGTGCATCATCATTATCCACTATGATCTATCCACTGCTGGATGAAGGCTCCCTCGTTACGGTCACGCGATGTCAAAATCCACCTCGCGCCCGCGCTCGTTCCTCACTCATTCTCGTTCCTCACTCATTCACGTTCCTCACTCATTCACGCTCCTCACTCATTCACGTTCCTCACTCATTCACGCTCCTCACTCATTCACGTTCCTCACTCATTCACGCTCCTCACTCATTCTCGTTCCTCACTCATTCTCGTTTCTCACTCATTCACGCCACTCCCGGCGGAAGGTCTCGCCACAAGAGTGCTCTAGGGAGCCCCTTTGACAGGGCACTTTGGCCTAGTCCTCCATGCTGGACGTGGTACCCACACTTCACCCCTCCAAAGGCGACCTGCCAATCGACTAACTCTTCAGAACATTATGCAAGTGCTTACTTAAATCGACGGGGCGAGGGTGGTATTTTAATGGGATGCTGGATGATGCGTCTTTCCGAAACCGTTTAACAGTTTTAAAGAAAAGGGCATTTTTTGTTCATGACTACGTGGGTGCGGGGCCAAATGTCACGGCTTGAAACATTTTTAAGCGATAAATGCACGTGAAGCCAACAGTCAGACGAACTGCGTTAATGCTGGCCCTGTGGCACGCAAACCAAATGTCATATTCGCTTTCTGATGTCAGTCGAGCCCGCACGAGGGCCAGAACCAGTTCATGATTAAAGTTTAGAAAAGTCAACCTCATGAAGGGAAAAAGAGAAACGCCGCAGATCCAATGGATGGGATGAGATTGAAATTCGCGTGCACGGTTTGATTATTTGTTGGTTTGTATCTTGACTTAAAGCTTTCGTGACTGCAGGAATTCATATCGAAACGTCTTAGTTTTTGGTTATTTTCTCTGAACCTATCTACGTTGTTGGTTTGTGTTTGACACGTGCAGGTGCACACCCCCTCCCGATCGCCTTTGTCTCCCCCAAGTGCCGACGCTCACACACACGGGCACCAGGCACTCAGGAGCGGTTCGGACAGCACTCGTCGGATTGGCGGTGTGGTGCGCTAACCACCGCGCCACCGCTCCTCTCGTCCCACACGTGCGCTCTCACCTCCACCACGGTGAAGAGCTCCCGGGTGCGCCGGATCGCGTCCTCTGTCTCTCCGCGTCTCGCTCTCAGCCTCTTCAACTTCTCTTTGTAGAAATCCTTTTGTACATCAGTCGGTGGAGACACACGGTAAACAAAACAAATACGTGACATTGTGTAAACTATAAACGGATGAGCGGTGAGGCTCATGTGAGTTTATGATTGGTGAGCGGTGAGGGTCACATGGTGAAGGTGGCAGCCCCTGCCCGTCTGTCGCCACCGCCTACTTTTACATGACCACGCCTACTTTTACATGACCACGCCCATTCATCCACTAGCACCGCGCGGTGCAGCAGGATAAAATGAATCCTCGACAGAATGAATGATAAATGATGTTCATGTTTTAGGCCCATGTATGGAGTCATTGGGCGTGGCTGTATCCATATATTAAAGGAATACTGGGACGGGAATCGACCAATTTTTTCACGAGAAGTGCTCGAGCATGGATCAAGCTGTGACATTTTGAATAAAAACATTTAACGGTGAAGTGATTCCTGTCACATAATTGGTAGATCAAAAAGCACCCATATTAGGCCGCCCTTTGACGCTCATTGGCTTTCTTCCGCGTTTTAGGCGAGCGGATCCCAACGCCCTACCACGCTGCCAACTGCTCATGGCCACGCCCACTGCCCAGGTAGCGCCGCCCACTGCCCAGGTAGCGTCGTCCACTGCCCAGGTAGCCACGCCCACTGCCCAGGTAGCGTCGTCCACTGCCCAGGTAGCCACGCCCACTGCCCAGGTAGCGTCGTTCACTGCCCAGGTAGCCACGCCCACTGCCCAGGTAGCGTCGTCCACTGCCCAGGTAGCCACGCCCACTGCCCAGGTTGCGTCGTCCACTGCCCAGGTAGCCACGCCCACTGCCCAGGTATCCACGCACCCTGTGCTCATCGAAGGCTCTGTATATGAAGAAAAACGAATTGGGGAAGGGGCCCTTTCAATCTATATGATGCCAGTGAGATGGCAGATGAGATAGGCAGCGTAGATGAGAGAGATTAATTGGCTTACGTTAATTAGCCACGATTGATTACTAGAATCTGAACAGCAGCTGGCATTTCATGCACCCGTAAATATCATTTGAGAGCGCCCCCCTCCCCCCACCGAGTTCCATGGGACCGTGAGAGCGTTTACCTGCCTTGCTTGTAGCACAGCAAGCGGGGAGGACCACACAGCGGATGAACGACCGCCCAATGAAATGAATGCCCTTCACATACACTGTACAGCGCTCCCAGTCGGTCCCTAATCTTGAGTGTGTATCGCTCCGGGTTTGTTAACACGGTGTTTGCTGTCGTCCCCCCCCCCCCCCACTGTTCAGAATCTACTTTGTATTCTGGGCTCTTGAATAACAACACAAAAACGAATGCCCATCACCATGCCCATCATCATCATCATCACGTACGACGAGGTGAGCGAACTCCTGGCGCACGTCCGTGACGTGATGTCTCGAGTGCGCGCCCACGATTGCGCACGCCGTGCACACGCAGGCGCGGTCGTCCCTGCAGAAGAGGCGCAGCTTCTTCCCGTGCAGGGAGCATCGCCTGGGGCCCACACCGCCGACACCGCCGCCGGCGGCCCCGCGGCCTCCCGTCGCGTCCTCCGTGGTGCCGCCGGGCCACGTGTCGCACTGCCCGATCTTCTGGTACGGAGCCGCCTCCAGGTGCTCCACGAGGCGCGACACCAGCACGTTTTTACGCAGCGGGGGCTTCACGGGGAACTCGGCCCGGCACTGCGGACATGACATGTGCGCGCCGCGTCCGGGGTGGCGCAGCCAGCGGCCGAGTCGCGGAGTGCCGCCCGGCAAGGAGGAGGACGAGGGGGTGATGGTGGCTGCCCAACAGCCCTCCACGCAGTCGAGGCAGAAGGTGTGCCCGCACGGCAAAGTGACTGGCTCCGTGAACACGTGGAGACACACGCAGCAACGCAGCTCCGACTCGAGGCCACCACCGCCGCCGCCGCCGCTCAGAAACGACATGGCCCGTTCGGGTTGGATTCCGGGTTCAGGAGTTCTGCGAGAGGCGGCGGGGAAGATGGATGGATGGAAGGATGGAGGAGTGGCTGTGCAAGGTATGGATGACAAGGTATGGATGACGATGACATGCGAGATGATGATGACATGCATGGTGGTGGTGATGGTGACGGTGTCGGGAGCAATAGTTTGCAGGGAATTAGGGAGGGAGGCAGACGACCAAAATGTTGATATGTTTGATACGTGTGTGTATTCGCACGTATTAACTTATAACTACATACTGTAATAGGAATAATGTGCATTCCTTAGATAGTCTACTGCTACACGAAGATCTTCCCACGTCGTGTCCGTCGTTGTTTGACCATACTTCACCACGATTCTCTGTGCGGGTTTTTGAAGGGGTGGGTGCTGTAGGACCGGTTTAGCTGTCGCCCGCCAATGATGTCAGACATGGCTGGGAATCTAACTCAGGTAATCGAGTGCATAGACAGGAAATAACTCACAGAGTCTCGAGACTTTGTTTCGTGAGTGTCCCGCACTGGGATGTTTGGCCAATTCCGCGAGTCCATGCTTTGTCACGTGACGGCAAACTTCGGTAGGGATGAGGACGGCGTGAGGAGGAGGCTTCCACTAAAGCAGTGGATTACACAATCCACGTCGCTTCAACACCGGAGTTGATTTCATCGCTCCGTCTCCTCCCGGGGGATCGTCCGTTCATTCGACTACCGTTCCATGACCAATCTCGTACGCCCAGCCCCTTCCCACAACACGGCCAGCGTGGAAGAGTAGGCCAAATACCCCTCCTGGAGGGGTTTCTCTAGAGTCGCCCCGAGTCGCCCCGAGTCGCCCCGAGTCACCGCGAGTCACCCCGAGTCACCGCGAGTCGCCCCGAGTCGCCCCGAGTCACCCCGCGGCGACTCGGGGCGGGGTGGGGCGGCCTCTGGCGTCGCGAACGCTCGCAGGTCCCCATCGGTGCCACGCCGCCCACGTTCCACTGGAAACGGTTAACCGGTTCCTCGCTTTTGGAACCGGTGATCAGTTCTGAAACGGTTACCGGTTTTTCGCGGTTGTCGTTTAACATCTCTCATATGTATGTGGGGGTGGCGGGGGGGGGGGAGACCGAATTGAGTTGTTCCTATATTGCTTTTTGATCGTGGCAGGCAAGACAACGGCGAACAACGTTGGCTTTGTGTGGGTAACAATAGCCTTCCTTTGTCACTGTGGGGGACGTGAAGACAACGGGGAGCGGTGGCGCAGCGGTTAGCGCGCTGCTCTACAAACTAAGCCCAACCGAGTTCAATTCCCGCTCACGGCCACCAACACCAGTGGCGATTATCTGAACCGGTCCTGGACCTCCCCTTAGGTTGACTCGGCCTCGAATGAGTACCTGGTGCGGTGTGGAAAAACATCGCCACGAGGAAGACAAAGGCGGCCGAGGGTGGTGCTCGCCACTCATCCCCCTCGAGTAACGTTCCGGCCTTCATAGGTGCTACTCCTCGCTAATAGCACTTGACCCAACGCTATACGGGGGATATTTGTCTTTGGTGTAAGTACAACCGTATTCTCAGGATTATCTAACGCCCCCCCCCCACCGCGCCTCCAATTTTGTGGTGCGTCTTATAATCCAAATTTGTATTTTGTTAATGACATGGGCCACAAGTTGCGAGGTGCGTCTTACATTTTGAATTGCCTTATACACCGGGGAATACGGTAATGAAAGTAATCACTGTACTGTGCCCAGGGAAGCGTCAATTGTGTCAAATCAGAAACTCCCCTGCGCGGGTCGTGGGTTATTTTTGACCATACTTCACCAGGCTGGTCCGCGCGGGTTGGTGGAGGCGGGACGCATCGACGTGGCAGCATGTACGTGTGTACGTTGAACTTATTTCGCACCGTACGAAGCCGACCGTGCTATTTGGAGGTGGGTAGGAGGACATTAAAACATTTATTTTCTCTGCAGGCCATTGACGACCTTGTGGTTTAAATGAATTGTGGTCACCCAGGCCTAACCGTGGTTGGCAGAAGTCGCCCCGGTCATACATCATTAACTCAACTGGTTGGAGCCACATCGCAACTTCGCTAAAGAAAAAAGCATGTACTATAACTGGTATTCGCCAAACCATCCCAAAGCTAGAATAAATACCTATAAATATACTCAATGGGAAACACGCAGCAGCAGCAGCAGCAACATCGCAGCAACATCGCACCCGACTGCGAGCACGTGGCAGGACCATACTGAAAATAAGACTTGATACTCCCAGCGAGGCTTTCCCAGAACAACCGAGCGTAGTGGTGACAGAACAACCGTGAATCTACTGCAGGCTACACGTGTATGTTGATACACAGCGCCTTCGCGATATTACGGCTCGATAAGAATGATGCAAATAACAAATATAACTTGGTTATAAGCCTCCCCAGCCAACGTGGTTTACCTCTTTAGAATTCACAGGCTGCTATCAATTTCCCGTCATCAGCTGTAGCTATTGGGCTATTTAGGATCTCTGCATTGGTCGCTCCCATCAGCCTGACGCCGCCAATAAGCAACCTCACGCGCCTGCGGGAACCGGTCCCGCCACAAACGATCTGCCAAGCAAAGCGAGGCGCTGTATTGCATTAAAGAGATCCGTCGAATAACAATGAGACTCTGCAGTTGAAAAGAGGGAACGGTGAAATCACGCGACGCTATTAAACGTCTACCCACAGTACGCACGCGACGTTTTCAAAGAGTCAGAGGACTTCCCGCACGGGGTGACCCACGGGGTGACCCACGGGGTGACCCGCGGGGTGCGCTTTGCATTCGCATTGCAGCTTGCGATTTACAGACGCGGCGTCGAAATGCGTCATCAGACACAGTGGACTCATTTATTCACTTTTAGAGAGGGGGAGGGAGGCAGTCACATGGAGATGGGAAAAAAGGAAGGGCTTGAGGCTGGGGGAAGTGAATTCCAGACTCTTGGGTGCAGCAAAGGAAAATTGGTGGTCTACCTCTACTGAGCGGAGAGGAGAGTGCGTGAAGGGGAGTTGGGTGAGACGAGAGAGGGGAGATGTAGGTGAGCGCCTGGAGGGGAGTAGAGTGAAGAGAGAGGGTGGAGGGTGCGTGGAGGCGAGTATTTTGAGACGAGGGGAAAATGTAGGTAGGAGCGAGTTCACGGAGCATCTTTGAGAAGGGCGAATACCATCTTGAAATGACTCCAAGATTGGATTGAAACGCAGTGGAGTGATTGGGGTTACTGGAGACACGTGGTCTTGGTTACGGTTGTGGGTGAGGAGTCTGACAGAAGGAAACATTTTGCACCACGTGGAGTTTAATGGGAGATTAGGGATTTGAGGACGCAGTAAAGGAGAGTTTTCATGAAGCTAAATATATTACGAATACCACGAGATGGAACATATCCTTTGTTTTTTTTTTCGGTGAAGTCACGTAGGTTAAATAAAATAAATGAAACCAACTAAATTAAATAACGACTTTTCGGAGGCAACACAAGCTTCCGTCTTCAGGTGGAAACCGTCACAGCAAAATAGCTGTATCAAGTGAAGAGAGCTCTAAGAGACCCGAGATTATATACAGGTTAAGGGGGGGGAGCCAGGAAGAGCTGTGGGGGAGCTAAGTTAAGCCGCCTTTTGTTATGCTGCAGGGGGTTAGGGGGACGGAAAGGCGATGGCGAGCGGTTGTCGAAAACGAGCGCGACCAACTGGAAGAAATGTCAATTATAAGGCAGCTAAAGTCGACCTAGGGGAGGGCTATAGTTTGACTTGGTTGATGACATCTTTCCAATGATTGCTCAATTTAACCTGTATATAATGTCGGGTCTCTTAGAGCTCTCTTCACTTCATACAACAATTTTGCTGTGACGGTTTCCACCTGAAGACGGAAGCTTGTGTTGCCTCCAAAACGTCGTGATTTAATTAAGTTTTCATTTATTTTACTTTACCTACGTGACTTTACCGAAAAAAAAAACAAAGAGTATGAATCATTGCAGTCACGAAAGCTTCAAATCTAGAATGGAACATATAGTTTGCAAGGGTGTGCTACTGTTGTCCAAGGGTGTTGAGCGACACGTGCAGACCAAACGCGCTACGGGAGAGTTGCAACTTTTATTTTGAAACTGTGCACTGTCTGATTCTGGGCGTTGGTGAAGTGAAACTGTTGTGAAGGTATTGGTGACAGCAGGTGTGACAGACAGCCTCGAGCTTTCGTCTTTGCGAGTGATGATGGCTCCATGTCGATCGTGTAACAAAAACGCAACGTGTCAGCACAACACGGCGTGGGCCTGTGCGATCATTTATCTTTTAATTGTTTCCTGCAAAACAATAAATATAGAAAAGGCACCTTCCTATTTGTGCGCGTCTTTAAAACAAATATATATTTTAAAAAAATCACGATTCCTTGGCACGGGTCCAAAGTCCCAACGCGTTAAGCGATCGGAAAAAAACGGTACTTGAAGTATAATTTAAGAGTGTGACGCGGTTTCGCGAGAGTCAGCGAGGTTATTGTTCGAATAGTTTTGGGTAAAGAGACGCTGGGAGGGAATTACAAAGTGGAGCAGTGCGAGGGATAAGCAGATACAGAGGTGAGGTTACCTGCGGTGTGGTAGGTGAGTGAGGTGAGTCAGTGGGTGAGCGGTGGTGCAGCGGTTAGCGCGCTGCGCAACGAACCTCGCGACCCGGGTTCGATTCCCGCTCGCGAACAACACCGGTGACGTTTATCTTAACCGGTTATAGCCCTCCCCTAGGTCGACTCAGCTTCAAATGAGTACGCGGTGCGGTGTGTAAACATCGCCACTGGGGAGACAAAGGCGGCCGGGCGTGGTGCTGGCCACCCCACCCCCTCGTGTGCCCGTGCCGGCCTTCATAGGTGCTCGCTAACAGCACTTGCCCCAACTGTCTGTTACAGGCTACGCGGGGGATCTTTGTCTTTGTTGTGTTGTGACCTGCAGTTGTTTTGTTTGTTATAACGGTGTGGCAGAGACGAAACAGTCCGGTAGAAACGCGATCACACTTACACGAAGATGATTCCGTTAACCAGAAGTCCACAGAACGATGTGTGCGAGACAGTCTAGTAGACTGTCTCGAGTCATCAACACGCGTGGAGGAATCCATCGGTGACATTCACGGGAACAGGTCACCACGGTAGTAGCGACAGAAGAGCGATAAGGAAACGACTGTAGTGAACCCGGTCACCCGAGTTCGATTCCCGTTCACGGCCATTACCAGTGACGATTATCTGAGCCGATCCTGGACCTCCACTAGTTCGACTCGGCCTCAAATAAGAATCAGGTGCGTTGTGTCGGGCGTGGTGCTGTGTACCCATCTGCCTTCGTGTGCCGTGCCGGCCTTCAAAGGTGCTCGCTAACAGCACTTGACCCACCCGTCCGTGAAGGCTATACAGGGGGGGGGGGGGGCTCTTTGTCTTGTCTTGGAGTCAATCAGTGAATGCTGGATTATAAATCTACCTGGCCGCCTTTACGTTTAATTACGTGTTCAGGACAAACTCTAGACTCCTGTAACAATGAGAGACGTGACAATGTAAGGGGGGAGCGGTGGCGCAGTGGCTGGCAAACTGTGTTATGAAACGCAGGCGTTCAATTCAACTCCTGGCCGCGGCTAACATCAGTGGCGAGTCTTATTTGAACCAATGCTGCCTTCACACTTCACCAACCTGCACTGATCGGCGTCGTGAAGTATGGCAGCCTGAGTTTGATTCCCGGGCAAGGTGAAGGACGTCAGTGGCGATAGTTGTATCTGAACTCCGGCCTTGGGCTTCCCACCCACCCACCCACGTCTCCCTCCCCCCGACACTTTCACAAACCTGCGCCGGCCAGCGTGGTGAAGTATGGACAAACACTCCCATGATGATCAACACGCAGCTGTTGATCACAGGGCCGGAGTAAGCTCGTGCGGGGCCTGTAGCATGATGTTATAAAGGGGCCCTATATAAATAAAAACACACACATGAAAAAAACTAATTTTTAACTTGCATAGTAAAGTAATTGTATGTTTTCATTTTCTATACAGTCAGATAATACGACAAATCGCTAACCTTAAACAACCCAGTCGTTCATAAAAGTTGAAGGCAGTATAGTACTGTAGTAATAGAGCAAGTGCAGAACCACTGAACCGGAATTGACAGCTTGATAGCATTTAGCGCGGGGCCTTTGAATGTGCGGGCCCGTAGCTACTTGTGTTGCTACTTTTGCTGCTGGGATAATCCGGCACTGGTTGATCATCGTTACGACTTAATAACGAATCCAGGAAAGCTGGGTCCGTCTCTGCGACGGACCCAGCTTTGCGAGACGGACCCAACGATAGTCCACGCATGTGAGTATCGTCAACTCGCTAGGGATTGCGCGTGACTCGTCGCGTGTCGAGCAACACCGACAACGCATTCTGCAGATTATTAACGCGCATCAGAAAGTAAGACGCACCCCGAAATGTGTTCGTTTTGGTGATTGGTTTTCAATTGCTGCCATTTATTTCCTTCTACAAAAATGATGATGATAAGGGCGATGATGGGTGTGGTGGTAATGGTGTTAATGATGAAGATAACGATAGTGATGAAGATAACGATAATGATTAAGATAACGATAGTGATGACGTCTCCGCAAGGGATCGCTCCTCGGCCATAGGGCACCAGCACGACGCTCGGGGAAACCAGACGCACCCCCAAACACGTGCCCCGCGTCAATAAAGTTATCCAAATCTGGTCACACACGCAAACACGCAGCCACCGGATAATAATACGCACCCTCAAATGTTGCTTTTAAAATAAGTGTGGCGGTGGTGGTGGGGAGGAGGGCGTCTTATATTCCGCGGAATTCGCGAAGAGTTATGCTCATCTTAGAAAGCCTCACGGAGTCTCAGGGCTCTTCCTAGGAGGGTCCTGCTACATCGGGATGTTTGACCAACATCGCTCAAAGTGTGCTTCGCTTCACGTGGTCAGTGGCCGGAGAAACCGCACCGCGCAGATACGAGGGGATGAGACTCGCACAGGAAGAAAAGCAACGGGGGACTTCTTGAAAAATGGAACTGACCAAACAACTCGACGCGAGAGACCGATCTGAGGCTCGCAACCAAGAAGAGTCGGGATTCGGCGAGGAGCAGCCATCCCTCGAGAGAAAAAAAGAGCGCGCGTAGCCTTAATACGACACCCGCGTATGCATGTGTTCATTATTAATGGTAGCTCTTAAAAAAAAGTATGACTCGCTCATGTAAACAACACGCAAGCAGCACGTAGCGCACAGCGAAATCCGCCGAACAAAATGAACAAAAATAATTGTCGGAAAGACGCAATTGGAAAGACGATCGTCGTGTGAGCGTGCGTGGATGTCTCTCTCTCTCTCTGCGGAGGGCTGACTCGTGGCGAAGACGCGCGGTGAGCAAAAGGGACGAGCGATTTGGAGTTGCTGTCGGAGACTTTGAATTTGATATATACATTACACTTTTTTTTCATTATACCAAATGTGCACCTTACCAACAGCCGTATTCAATCAGTGAACGTCACCCGCTATGGCATGGATCGGACGGCGCGTGAACGCTGACCAAAGACAATTCCATCAAGAGCTGAAAAGACACAAACGGTACGGTGGAGATGTGGGCACCGAGAGAGAGAAACGGGACGCGCGGATCGGAGAACGGACGCGAGGTCGAGACTTCGGGGGTGGCCGTTGAGAGCGGTCGTTGGGGCTTGGGCAGACAGGCAGGTAGACAGACAGACAGGTAGACAGACAGGTAGACAGACAGGTAGACAGACAGGTAGACAGACAGGTAGACAGACAGGTAGACAGACAGATACGTAAACAGACAGGTAGACAGACGGGCAGGCAGACATACAGGTAGACAGACAGGTAGACGGACAGGCAGACAGGCAGACAGACGGGCAGACGGGCAGACAGGCAGATATGCAGACAGGCAGATATGCAGACAGGCAGACAGACAGACAGGTAGATAGACAGGTAGACGGACAGGCAGACAGACAGACAGACAGACAGGTAGACAGACGGGCAGGCAGACATACAGACAGACAGGCAGGCAGGCAGATAGGCAGGCAGGCAGGGACACGCCAATGGCTGGCGGACGAGGCTGGCGACGGAGTGGCGGGCAAAGGAGGGGAGGAGGCGTCCAGGGGGTGACGACCACCGCGCGAGATGGAGCGACGGCGAGATCGGCTCGCGTGCAAGGAGGAGCGAGACGGATTGAAGCGTGGCGCCACCGCAAGGGACCGTATTCACACAGCAGTGGATAGAACACGACAGATGACGACGATGATTACAGTACTGCGTTGAATTTGTGCATAAGCAAAAGTTTACAAAAAATAAACACATTCCTCAATACCACTGTTATAAAAAAAAACTAATATACACATAATAGGCAAATGAAGGGTTATTGCTCGAAACGTCGTCTATTACAATAACGTTGCTGCTGCTGCTTCTGTTAGTTTTTTTTTATATCAATGCCTCCCCGAGCCAAGCGCCGTTGCCACATTCCTCCGCTCATCACTCACTCTTCACTCGCTGGCTGGGTTACTCACTCACCGCAACTCAAATCACTCTCGCCTCCTGGCTCGCCTCACCTGGCTATCTCACAACCTGCCCGCGACGCTGCCTCCGTCTCATCCGCGACACTTCTCAGAGAAGACGACTTTTCATCTCACGGTTGGGCTTGCTCAACGCGCACGCACACACACACACACAAACCTTCAACCACACGAGCGAGTGGCAGGTAATGCTGGTGGTTGGGTAGTCAAGCAGCGAGTGGCACAAGTCTAACACCGCCCTTTCAAGTCGATGACAGCCTGCGCTAAGCACCACCGGGCAACAGCAGCAGCAGCAGCAACAAAAAAAAGCTCCCTTCCAGGGCTGTTGGGGTGTGTTTCCCAGCAGCGCAGCTCCATTGGCGGGCAGCAACGCCCTGGCACTCCCTCCTCATTCATGATGCATGAGGCTATTGAGAAATGACGCGCTCCTTGCTCGGAAGCGAACTTGTTGCTCCTGCTGCTGATGATGTTGCTGATGATGTTGTTGGTACCCGCCCCGTGCGCGCTGCGAGAGCCCCATGAGGTGTGGTTGTGGTGGTTGTGGTGGCTGTGGTGGTTGTGGTGGCTGTGGTGGTTGTGGTTGGTGATAGGGAATGGCAGTTGATGGTTGTGTGCCGTGGTGTTGTTCGGGTATGGGGATGCTCGTAGTATAGCTGGAGCGATGGTGCTCGTGTTTGGTGGTGGTGGTCATTGTATTGGTGGTAGTTGTGATGGTTGTAGTCGTGGTTGTTGGTGGTCGCGATGACCGATCGTGGTGAGGGTGGTGGTCGTGGTGTTTTATGGTGGTGGTATTGGTGATTATTGTAAAATAGTAATGGTGGTGTCGATGTTGGCTTTGATAATAATGCTCATACTGGTGTGTGTCGTGGTGGTAATGATGGCGGTGGTTAGAGTCATGGTAATAATCGTGGCGGAGATGCTCGTCGTGGTAATGGTTGTGGTGTTTGTGGTGCTGGTGCGCGCGGTGGTGTAGCGGTCAGCGCGCTGCGCTACGAACCCTGTGACCCGAGTTCGATTCCCGCTCACGGCCAACACCGGTGACGATTGTGTGAACCGGTCATGGGCCTCCCCTAGGTCGTCTCAGCCTCAAATGAGTACCTGGTGGGGTGTGTAAACATCGCCACTGGGGAGACAAAGGCGGCCGGGCTTGGTGCTGGCCACCCACCCCCTCGTCTGCCGTGCCGGCCTTTCTAGGTGCTCGCTAACAGCACTTGCCCCAACTGTCTGCTCAGGCTATAGGGGGAACCTTTGTCTTTGTTTGGTAATGCTGATGATGGCGGTGGTGGTATTGGTTATATTGGTGGTGGTGTTTCTGGTAGTGATTTGATTGGTGATGGTTGCAGTAGTGGTGTCGGTGATGGTAGTTGCGCTGTGTAAACATCGCCATTAGGGAGACAAAGGCGGCCACCTACCCCCACAACAGCATATTAAGGCTATACGGGGATCTTTGCCTTTGTATTGATGACGGTCGAGGTGAAGCACATCGCCAACAGCAATTGTAATCCAGTGTGACCTGGGACTCCCCCAAGTCGACTTCGCCCTAAACGACTTGCCAAAGAAGCGTGCCAATGTCACCACTGGAGAGACAAAACGTGCTGGTGCTCATCACTCCCCATTAGGTGGGGGCTGATCTCCCCCTCCACACTCTCCGCGAGCGGGTGGGAGCCGACGTCTGCCCCCTCCACCTCCACTCGTGCGTCCTAACCGCACGGATTACGTAATATTGTTTGACTCGCCGCGCGCGGCTGTTCAGAGTTAATTAATTATTTCCACTAAGCCGTTGTGTCAACAAACCAACGGTGCTCGGAATCAATTAATTAATCTGCGCGCTACGCTCGTGTCGCGGTCAAGCGTCCCTCTTTAATTCCCTCTTTAATTATTTATTGTATGTGCGCGCGCGTCGTGCATATACTGATTAAAGTCATCCACACACCGTCGTGTGCCGATCACTGTCCCACCGCTCTTCACACACACACACATGCACCACGCGTCACAACGTCAGTCTGTGCTAAGGGTTTATTCCCGGAGCGAATAGTGAACCCCCGTGTTTATGGTCTCTTCCAGCCAGCACCCTTCGGACAGCGCCTAACCTCCTATCACCTAGCCGTCGCAGAGTGCGTCTATCCTCCAAGCTCGAGCTGACTGCGAGCTGGGCTGAATTGGCCCCCTCCCCCACGTACTGACCCACCTTTCCAGCTGCACGATGGGGGTTAGGGAAGATGCCCGCCTCGGAGACTTTGCCTGGGCAATTGTTTTCTGCTGCACCCTGCAGGCATCCCACGGACGCTGAGGGTGGCTGGTATTCTCCGCCACTCCAGAAGAACTCTGATTCAATCTGCCCCTCCGGCTCCTTTATGTCCTCAAAGCCCCTTAACCCCCGGGTCATATGACGTCATCCTGCGCATCCAATCGAATCCTCTTTACAGCCGTTTTGAGCGCTCTGGCCGTTGGGGGGGGGGGGGGGGGGGGGGTCGCGTCATCCCCTCCCTTCCCATTGTCTCTGTACCTGCGTTCCTCGCCGTTGACTCATCGATAACCCCCTCGCTCCCTCCAACTTAAATCAACTCTTATCTGCTTTTCCTTCCCACCCTACTGTTTACCCTGCCGCTGGGTGCTGGCTGAAGGTCCCATCCCCCCGTGTTGTGTATGCTTCATCGCGGCCGGCCTGTAAAGCTCTATGCCCCCTTTTAGGGGGGGGGGCACCATGTAATTCGGTCTGGGGGGCTCAGCCAATTTCCTGGTCTGGGGAAACCTTCCTGGTCCGGGGAAACCGTCCTGGTCCGGGGAAACGTCCCTGTTAATGGGGTCCTCGGGTGAAAACCCACCGTACCAGGTGATCCCTCCTCGAGACCCTACGGGGGTGCATGCGAGAGTTTAGTGGGGCGTGCGTGCGTTCGTGGGGGGGGGGGGGGTACAAACAGAGGGTTGCGCCGGCCGAGCTGCTCCGCTGCGGTGGCACCACACACTCATCTCGTGCACCACCGTGCTTGTCAAATACAAACAAGACTCAAGTCGTTGGTTAAATATAAGAGAGGCCCGTTGAAGCTAAATACGTTCCTTGATGTGTTTTTTTTTAGGGAAGAACGAGTCCAAAATTAAATAACACGGCAAAAAAGAACGGCAAATTCACAACTCAAAACAAAAAGTCACGTCTGATGATCACGAATAAACTTTTAAATTAGAGCTCTGTGAAAGAGACTCGGATCAACAATCCATGGTTCTTTTGAAGCTTGGCGGGAGGGGGGTGTAATGAATCGTTCTCCAACATCTCTCGTGTGGTTGACGAATTTGTGGATGTCAACAACAACAAGAGTCACAACAGGCGATCGCTATCTACCCTTGCGCCTACCGTTTGTGTGCGGCTCAAGGAGATGAGTTGCTGAAATGACACACGAGGATACGTTTCACAATGTCAGACTGATGAAACACTTAAAATACTCTGCAGAATTGTTTCTCCACCAGCCAAAAATGCGCTTTGTACATCGTTTACAGAGATAATCTGGCATTGGTTGATGGGGGGTGGCGGGTGGCGGAAGGCAATTAGAGCCCATGAAAGTCTAAGGACAAATGCTGGCACTTCTGTAAACGATGAGAAACCTCATCGGACAAAAACGGTGAGTTGCAGGCTTGAAGCGAGGATTTTCCTCCTCCGCTTACAAAGAAAAGGGTAGAGGCCTCCTCCGCGTTTTGTTTTCATAACGCCAATTGGATATAATGTGAGGATCAATGTATTCGGGAACTCATTTTTGTTTTAAGCGCGGATGCGAAGTGGATAAAAGTAAAAGGGGCCGTCCATAAAGAACGTAACACGATTTTGGACGATTTTTGACCCCCCCCCCCTTCGTCACACGACGTCACAAAAAGTCAGACCCCCCTCAAATATCACGTAATAAAGCTCTGCCCCTCCCCCCCAAAAATAAAACATGCTTCATATCGCTTTAAACTATTGCCAGTGAAGTACGTATTTAATGTTGCGCTGCACTCTGATGTTGTAGGAGAAAACATTTATTAAAAAGTCTATTTAATTAAGTAGAACGTGTTGTCTATATTTAAAGTTGCGCATTTTGATGTGACGTCACATTTCTTAACCCCCCCCGTCACACATCGTCACAAATGTCTGACCCCCCCTCTAGGTGCGTGACGTCATTTATGGACGGCCCCAAACGTTATCGAGTGAACGGAATGACGCCACGCGAGTAGGAATAGGCGGTTGTACGGCTGTCTGGGCGTACCATCGCATGAGCCAGCGGGATGCTGCTGGATGCTTCTAGATGCTACCCACGTGCCTCGGTCTCTGTTTGGCCTACGTGACGCATCTCTCACGTGCTATCGCGGACTGTACTTTACCCTATGTTTATATATAATTTATTTTAACGAGATTTTTTGTTGTTCAATAACGCGGTGTTCGTTAGGAATGCAACTACTACCCCGTTATAGGAGAACAGCCTGTGTGGGCAGCATTCATTCAATGCCGCCCTTAGGCAGCTGTCAGACTGTCTCTCGATGCTGATCACGTGAAGACCCCCCCCCCCCTCCCGCGAGGCACAGGGTAGCAGCAGACAACGGGGACCAACCCAGTCAACGTAGAACATTGGGCCAACGCTGGGCCAGTGTTCCCAATGTTCCACGTTGACTGGGTTGGGTCAAAGTTGGCATGTGTTGGGTAACAGTTGGCCCAATGCTGGACCAGCGTTGGCCCAACGTTGGCTAACGTTGGCCCAACGTTGGGCCAACGTTGAACGTCTATTACGTTTAATGTCCTGATGATTAATTAGTTTGAAACGCTTTCACACGAAGGGTCGAAGGCGTTTATGCGTTGGTCCTGTCTGTCTGTCAACCCCTTATCAGTGCCCTACCTTATTACAGACCAATTCAGACCTGATTGGTCACTCCGTGCCCTTATACATTTCAACGTTCATCCTACAAAGTCCCACCATAAGGGAAAACACAGACATTTTTATTTCATTTTGCCCGTATTGAAACGGCTGTACGCCATATGGACCTGAAAACTACTCAACTTCCCTGTATAAGAATACGGCTAAATCCTATAGGTTGACAGGTATGGAACTGGTATAGTACAGTTTCTTTCCAATGAACACGCTGCCGCTGTCAAAGATAATAGGGCCACAGTTTTGACTTGTTGGCGGTCTACATACAATGCTGTGTGGACGATAGAGGGATGTCGCGTGGCATGCGAGGCATGGTGGGTCAGTCGCATGGTCGTTATTGCATATTTTGTTATCCAAAGAATTAACTCTGCGGTTATACTAGGACCACCCCCACCCCATGGCTCGGTAGTATAAGGAT